CCCCAAAACCCCAAAACCCCAAAACCCCAAAACCCCAAAACCCCAGAAGTAGATCAGCATTGATAAAATATTTATTTACAAATAAAATGTCAGCTGTTTGCAAGTTCAACGTTCAAGATTTCGAATTTAAGGATACCCTCGGAACAGGCTCCTATGGTAGAGTCAGACTAGTAAAGGACAAGCTTAATGATCAATATTATGCGCTCAAGATACTGAAATAAGGCCGATATCATCAGACTTGAACAAGTGGATCATGTGGTTAATGAGCATACTATCCTTGCAGATATAGATCACCCCTCCTTAGTTTCCCTAAAAGGGTTCGGCCAAGACTCTCGATATCTCTATTTCCTACTCGAATTCATCCAAGGAGGCGAATTATTCACAAGGCTTAGGACTCAGGGGTACCTTGGAGATGAGGAAGCAAGATTCTTTGCAGGGCAAGTGACCTTAATGTTTGAGTACCTCCACTCCAAAAATATAATTTATCGGGACCTAAAACCTGAGAATTTGCTCATAGACCAGGATGGATATCTCAGACTGACAGACTTTGGCTTTGCCAAAGTTTGTCATGGTCGGACATACACATTATGAGGAACTCCTGAGTATATGGCTCCAGAAATTTTGATGAATGTTGGTCACGGTAAACCAGTCGACTGGTGGACCCTCGGAGTCCTCATCTATGAAATGCATGCTGGAATTGACCCATTCCACGAGAGCGATCCCATGGCTATTTATAAATAAGATCCTCAAATGTAAAGTTAAATTTCCTAAGGAATTTGATAAAAGATGCAAAAGTTTGGTTAAAAAATTACTAGTTCTTGATCCAACAGAGAGGTATGGACTAGTCAAAGCAGGAAAATTAGATATCAAATCTCATAAATGGTTCAGCGGGGATTGGGATTGGCATGAGCTCCTGGACAGATCAATGACCCCTGTATATAAACCTGAATTCTACTGCCAAGATGATACATCTAATTATGCCAGATACCCAGATTCTCCAATTGAAGCAGAAGAGGTTCATGAGGAAGAAGATCCTTTCTTGATATGGTAGAGCAGATGGTATAATATTTTTAAAAACTCAACTCAAGGTTTTATGCCTGGGGTTTTGGGGTTTTGGGGTTTTGGGGTTTTGGGGTTTTGGGG